TGCCTCAGCCTCCCAAGTAGCTGGGATTACAGGTGCCCGCCACAACGCCTGGCTAATTTTTGGTTGCAGTTGTCATTGTTGTTTAGCAGGCCCTGGCTAGATTTGAACCCACCAGGCTTGGTGTATGTGGCTGGTGCCCTAACTACTGAGCTATAGGTGCAGAGCCATGATTGAAAGATTTTCAAGATGGTGTCTTCAGCGATGCCCTAGCACTCTGGGAGGCCAAGGCGAGTGGATTATTTGAGCTCATGAGTTTGAGACCAGCCTGAACAAAAAGCGAGACCCTGTCTCTACTAAAAATAGAAAAACTGAGGCAAGAGGATGGCTTGAGCCCAAGACTTGGAAGTTGCCCTGGTCTTGGAAGAGTAGGGCATTCTACCCAGGGCGACAGATTGAGACTTTGTCTCAAAAAAACAAAGAAAAGATGATATCTCCTAGATTCATCCACCTTGTAGTATGTATCAGAATTTTCCCTTTAAAAGGTTGAATAATGTTCCATTGTATATATATGCTACATTTTGTTTATCCCTTCAACTGTTGATGGACACTTGGGATGCTTCCACCTTTTGGCTATTGTAAGTAATGCTGCTATGAACAGGAGTGTACAAATATCTCTTTGAGACCCTGCTTTCAATTCTTTTGATTATATATCCAGAAGCAGAATTGCTGGATCATATGGTAAATCTGTTTTTCATTGTTTTAAAGAACCACCATACTGTTTTTCGTAGTGGCTGGTCATTTTACATTCCTATCAACAGTGCACAAGAGTTCCAATTTTTCCACATCCTTGCCAAAGTTATTTTCTGGGTTTTTTTTTTTTTAATTAGTTGATTTGCTTTATTTTGATTATTTTTGAGATAAGGTCTTGTTCTGGTGCCCAGGTTGGAATGCAGTAGTATTCTAGCTCATTGAAATCTCAAACTCCAGGGCTCAAGCAATGCTTCTTCTTCAGTGTCTTGAGTAGCTGGGATTATAGGCATGTACCACTGAGTTTGGCTAATTTCTTACTTTTCTAGATAGGGTCTTGCCATGTTGACCAGGCTGATCTTGAATTGGCCTCAAGTGATCCTTCTTTTTTTTTTTTTGAATGGTAACTGTGTACATTGATGCACTTTGGGGGTACAGTGTGGTGTTTGCACACACAATCCAAGACACTTCCATCAAACTGGTTAACATAGCCTTCATGTAACTTTCTTAGTTATTATGTCAAAACATTCATATTCTACTCATAGAAAGATTCACTTGTACCCTTGTAAGATGAACCACAGAAGTGAACCCTTGAATCCCTCTCCCTCCACCCTCTCCCCCTCCCTCCTCCCCTCAAGTGATCCTTCTATCCTGGCCTTCCAAAATGCTAGGATTTGCCTAGCCTATTTTCTGTATTTTTAATAGGAGGCATCCTAATGGATATGAAGTAGTATCTCATTGTGGTTTTCATGTGAATTTCCCTAATGATTAATGATACTGACCATCTTTTCATATGCTTATTGGCCATTTTCACATGTATATCTTCTTTAGAGAAATATTTATTCAAGTCTTTTGCTCTTTTTTTTTTTGAGACAGAACCTCAAGCTGTTGCCCTGGGTAGAGTGCTATGGCATCACAGCTCACAGCAACCTCCAACTCCTGGGCTCAAGTGAGTCTCCTGCCTCCACCTCCCAAGTAGCTAGGATTACAGGCACCCACCATAATGCCCAGCTATTTTTTGGTTGCAGCCGTCATTGTTGTTTGGTGGGCCCTGGTTGGATTCAAACCTGCCAGCTCAGATGTACGTGGCTGGTGCCTTAGCCACTTAAGCCACAGGCGCCAAGCCTTTTGCTCATTTTTTAATTGGGTCTCTTTTTGTGTTGTTGAGTTGTAGGAGTTTTTTATATTTTCTGCATAGCAGTCCTTTAGCAGATATATGATTTGCAAATATTTCTCCTTAAAGTGATTTTTATTTTTGTTATTTTTTTTTTCACCCTCCGTAGAATACCATGGCATCACAGCTCACAGCAAACTCAGACTCTTGGGCTTGAGTGATTCTCTTGCCTCAGTCTCCCAAGTAGTTGGGACTACAGGTGCTTGCCACAATGCCCAGCTGGTTTTTTTGTTGTAGTTTTCATTGTTGTTTAGCAGGCCTGGGTGAGGTTCGAACCCATCAGCCCCAGTGTATGTGACTAGCGCCCTAACTGCTAAGCTATGGGCACCGAGCCCTTAAAGTGATTTTTAAAAGGAATGTATCAAATAGGAATTTCATAAACAGAACAAAACTTTTAAGTTGTACTTTTGCATTTCTAAAATTCTTTGCTCTCTCTGTGTCACTTCTATACTGTTTAGTGCAGACTAATTTATATTTTTCATGTCACATATTTTCTATTACGTCATTTATCATAATAGTGCTATAAACCGGTATTAATATTACTACCTCCATTCTCTTTATTTGCTTCTGCTTGGTATCTCTTTGCCAATCCCTTTTCCCACTTTCCTTTAGTGCTTCAAAAGAACAACTGTAAAGCTGAAATAAGATACATGAAAGTACAGTAAAACAACAGCATAACACATTAGTATAAAGCACATATCCATGTAACCAATACCCAATGCCCAGATCAATAAATAGAATAGTGCTAGAATATCAGAAGCCCTTTTCAGCTCAACTTCATGTTTTTAAGTCTTACCACTGTGATAAATGAGAAATTTCATGTAAGTCTGATTTTTTTTTTTTTTGTAAATAATTGGTGTGTCTGAAGCTTCTGAAATAGTTTTGTCTTCATTGTCAAATTTTACAATTATGTGAGTAGACATGCATCTTTCCTTGTCAGTCCTGCATAGACCTTAGTGAGCTGTTACGTTGTCAGTCTCAGGTCTTTCTTTACCTTGGAGAAATTTTCTTCTGATATTTATTAATCAGTTCCTCATCTGTATAAATTTTCTCTTCTCCTATAATTTCTCTTATTCAGATGTTAGAATTTCTGGGTTTATCTTCCAGTTCTCTTGGTTTTTCCCTCAGATTTACATTGCTTTGTATTTTTATCTTTGCTTTAAGGTATTTTTTCTACCTATCCAGGCCAGTAATTCCAATCTCAACTCTGATAATCCTCTTTTTCAATTCTTTTTACAGAAATTTTTTATTTAAACCAGTACTTACTTCTAGCCTGTAGTCCTAGCACTCTGGAAAGCTAAGGCAGGTAGATTGCCTGAGCTCAGGACTTAAGAGATCAGCCTGAGTAGGAAAGAGTGAAACCTTGTCTCCAAAAAAAAAAAAGCTAGCATTATGGCAGGTGTCTGTAGTCCCAGCTACTCAGGAGGCTGAGGCAAGAGGATCACTTGAGCCCAAGTGTTTAAGGTTGCTGTGAGCTGGCTTGGTACCTGTGGCTCAAGTGGCTAAGGCGCCAGCCACATACACCTAAGGTGGCGGGTTCGAATCCAGCCCGGGCCCGCCAAACAATGATGAATGCAACCAAAAAATAGCCAGGTGTTGTGGCAAGTGCCTGTGGTCCCAGCAACTTGGGAGGCGGAGGCAGGAGACTCACTTGAGCCCAGGAGTTGGAGGTTGCTGTGAGTTATGCCACGGCACTCTACCCAGGGGGATAATGAGGCTCTATCTCAAAGAAAAAAAAAGGTTGCTGTGAGCTACTACACCACAGCACTCAACCCTAAAGCCACTGAGTGAGACTGTCTCAAATAAAAATTTTTTCTTTTCTTTTTTTTTTTTTTTGGTGAGACTGAGACTCAACCCCAGGGTGACTGTGTCTCAAAAAAAGATTTTCTTTAATTATTTTTTATTTTTTATTTTTTGAGAGAGTCTCACTTGGTCACCCTTAGTAGAGTGCCATGGCATCTTAGGTCACAGCAACCTCAAACTCTTGGGTTCAAGCGATTTTCTTGCCTCAGCCTCCCAGGTAGCTGGGTCTATAGGCCCCCGCCACAAGGCTCAGCTGTTTTTAGAGATGGCAGTTTCCCTCTTGCCTGAGCTTACTCGTGAGCTCAGGTAGTCCACCCTCTTTGGCCTCCCAGAGTGCTAAGATTACAGGCATGAACCTCTCTGTCTGGCTGTACTTATTTCTAGAAGGCCCTTCTGTGTGTGTATATGTTGTATTTGAATCTTAAGTAACCTATTTTTTTGTTGCTCAAATAGTCATCTGCTTTGTTAAAGTCAACCTTTCCTAACTGTCTTAGAGTTTGTTCTTTCTCTGGCTACTAGATCCACTTAAAGTCATTTCTATTTTTTTTTTTGTTCTTCACTGAGTCTCTGGTCCAGCAATCCTGCAAGCAGCAGAAAGTAAATTTGTCTTATCCTGTGACTCAGCACTAGAGTGGGGGTGGGGGTGGTTTCAGTCCCTTGTCAGGGCACTAGGAGGAACTCTCTCTGCTTTTCAGTCTTCTCTGTTGCAAAGGCAAAAGCTCAAATCCTAAGGGCTTAGTGCGTTTGATGTGTTTGGACACCTTTAGCTCTTGTGGACCAGGGAGACTAGGTCACTGACACAGGCTGATGTTGCCTTATCTCCCTGGAGTTCATGGCTGTCTGCTGCATGTACTAACTCTGGTCCCCAAATTCCTATCTATTCCAGAAGGGAGAAAGATCTTGTGCCAACTCTAGATTCTGACAGCTTGAGCCTTCACTCATACCCTGTGGACCCCTCCTACTTGTTCCCTTAGTAGTGGAGTTAGGAATAGGCTAGAGTTAAGAATAGGGAGGAGCAGTGTCACCTTCACACTACTATCTATCCATGATATGAATTTACAGAGGGTGCTAAAAATGTGTATATACATTAAAGGAAAAAAAGGTTGGGATTGGTGGCTCACACCTGTAATCATAGCAACTCTGGGAGGCCGAGGCAGAAGGATATCTTGAGCTCAGGAGTTAGAGAACAGCCCGAGCAAGAGCAAGACCACCTCTCTACTAACAATTTAGCGGGGTGTTGTGGTGGATACTTTTAGTCCCAGTTGCTTGGGAGGCTGAGTCAGGAGGATCACTTAAACCTAAGAATTTGAGGTTGCTGTGAACTAGGTTGAGGCCATGGCCTTTAGCTTGGGCAACAGAATGAGACTCTAAAAAAGAAAAGAAAAACTATATTAAAATTCTAATACTCAAGACCTCAAGTCACATTTGACTTTCTGCAATTATAAAAGGTGCTCAAATGTGAGTTATATTCATCTTTTGTTGTTGGTACGTATTGAGTATTATAATTTTTTTTTTTTTTTGAGACAAAGTCTCAAGCTGTTGTCCTAAGCAGAGTGTCATGGTGACATTATAGCTCACAGTAACCTCCAACTCTTGAGCTTAAGCAATCCTCTTGCCTCAGTTTTATTTTTAGTAGAGATGGGGTCTCGCTCTTGCTCAGGCTGGTCTCAAACCCTTGAGCTCATGTAATCCACCCGCCTCTGCCTCCCAGAGTGCTAGGATTACAGGCATGAGCCACTGTGCCCAGTCTGAGTATTATAATTTTAATATAGTTTTTTCCTTTCTTAAAATGTGTATATATTTTTTGGTACCCTCTGTATATTCTCAGCCTTTTAATAATATAGGCTAGTTCACTTGGAAGGCCCCGAAATGGATTACTAGTTTTTCTTTCCCTACTACTGGGTCTTTGCTGTGAGCAGCAAGGATCAGCCAAATCTTTACCTAAGCAGAGGTAATGAGAACTTTTTCCTTTTTTTGAGTTTGGACAGTATCTTTCACCCATAATTGTATGTTGGGAATTGAACTGACTTCCTTAGTCAACTACTTTTCTTTGCTTTGGCAGGAAGGCAGCAACAACTCATCGCCACTGGATTTTGTCAATGCAAAAATGGCAGACTCCCCTTCAGAACAATCCAATCACTCCTCAAAGTGGCTAGAAGATTGTCAGCATGAATCAGATCAACAACCTCTAGATGTGATTCCCCAAACCATCTCTACTCCCAAAACATCTAAGGAAGCAGTAGATCTACTAGATGACTATGTAGTTAAAACCATGGTCTTTGTACCCTCTCCAGTGGAGCAGCAGGAGAACATTACATTTGAGGTCCATTTAGATACGATGGCAGAGACAAATAGCATCTCTTTAGATGAAATTTTGAGGTCAGGAGATCTGGTGAGAAAGGAGGTAGCACCCTGCACAGAAGACAGCTTTCCAGAAGGGGTTGCTGCTATTCCTGAGAACCCTACATTTCAGGATCCTTTATCCCATCTCTTTGAGTATCCCCCAAATCCCAGTTCTGAGCAACAACTTTGCTGCTCCAAGGAAAGCCAGAGGACTGAGGCTGTGCCTAAAGACTTAGTACCTTCTGAAAGTAATGCCTTCTTGCCATCCTCCATGTTCTGGCTTTCTCCTTCAGCTGCTTTGGCAGCAGATTTTCCTGTCAATCATGTAGACTCAGGGGAGGAAACTGTGGAACATAGACCTATGGAGGAAAGAGAAACGAACTTTCCCACACTCCCAGAGGAAGTTGAATTGGGAGATCAAGCCCTTGTCTCAAATGGGCAAAATCTTCCGCCCACATGTCTGACACCAAATCCAGTAGAAATGGAATTCCCAGCAGCTCCAAGCCCCAAAGTGGAAAATGGTGGTAGTATTCTCAACTCTGATACAGAGCACTGGACGTCTCCACTAGCATGGCTGGAAAAAGGTGTAAATACCTCAGTCATGCTGGAAAATCTACGCCAAAGCTTACTTCTTCCCTCTGCACTTCGGGATGCTGCGATAGTCACTACTCCTTTTTCTACTTGCTCAGTCGGAACTTGGTTTACTCCTCCAGCACCCCAAGGAAAAAGTATAAGCACATCCCAGACAGACACAGTGGGAACCAAGGACAGTACTTCTAAGACAGAGCACCTCCTGCATGGGTAAGCACCCCTATGTCCTTGTGCCTTGTGAGCTCCATTACACTGGACCCACTACTCCTATCCCTTTCCACTCCCCTTTTCCTCATTTTCTTGTCTTCCTGCTGCAGCTGGCCTCCAGATCTGACTACCTTGTCTCGACATGACTTGGAGGATAACCTGCTGAGCTCTCTTGTCATTCTGGAGGTCCTCTCTGGCCAGCTTCGGGACTGGAAGAGCAGGCTGGCTATCCCTCACCCAGAAGCCCAGGACAGTAGCACACAGACTGACACCTCTCCTAGTAGGGTAAGAAAGTTCCTTCCAAAGCTAGGAGGATCCCAGTGTGCCCTCTTGCTCAGAATTTAAGCTGATAAATTACCAGAAGGCAAAGGGGAGAGATGGGTTAATCACAGGCACATTCTTAGAATACATGTAAAATTGAGGATCTAGGCTTGGCGCCTGTGGAGGATGAAAAAGTGAGACTCTATCTCAAAAAAAAAAAAAAGCTGAGGATCTGGAAATTCCTTTAATGCTGTGGGTACTCACTGTACACCTGGGGCACATCAAGACTTGCGAAGGGAATGTAAGCCAGGTAAGTTTTAAAGGAATCCATTTCTGGATCTTCATCTTCCAAATGTACTCTTTACTAATTATTTTCTTTCCTACTTCCCCCATTTTCAGTTGCCCATGCCTACCATACTAAATAGCATAGTTACTATACCAAGCCAGAACCTTACATTGTCAGAACATAGCAATCAAAGGACAACAGAAAACATTTTTGTAGGTGCTAAGAAAGTGAATGACTGCAATGATTATATAACACATCATTTTTCCGTGTTTTCAATAAAATTGGAGGAAGATTTTAATTATGTTTAATTATGTCAGTGGATCAAGCATTAAACATTTTTGATGAATGTTCACTAAGATTTTTGGCATATATCACTAAAAGGGTTGCTAGAATTGGCTGGCATGCCCTTCTTCTCTTAGTTCATTCCTACTTGTTCCCATTATTTATGGGAAGATTTCTCAGTGCTTACATCTATTAGAATGGAAAAGAAAGAGTCATGAGTTGTCACTGAACCATGTCTTATTGTATAAATTATAGTAATCCACAGATACATGAACTAATGAAGAAAGGAAGCTCCATTTGTTTCATAATAGGTGATTCCCAGTAAAATTTCACTGTGTGTGTTTATGATTTTTTTTTTTTTTTTACATTGAGACAGTGTCACTCAGTTGCCCTGGGTAGAGTGCCATGGCGTCATAGCTTACAGCAACCTCAAACTCCTGGGCACAAGTGATCCTCTTACCTCAGCCTCCCGAGTAGCTGGGACTACAGGTGCTGGGCTGGGCATAGCATCCAGCTATTTTTGTTTGTTTGTTTGTTTTTAGTAGAGATGGAGTCTTGTCTCTTGCTCAGACTGGTATGCTTATGATTTTTTGAAAAATTATATTATTATGGCTAGGCACAGTAGCTCACACGTGTAATCCTACCATTCTGGAGGGTCAGGTGGGAGGATCACTTAAGACTAGGAGTTCAACACCAGCCTGAGCAACATAGCAAGAAAAAAATAGAAAAATTAGTAGGATGTGGTGGTGCATGCGTATAGTCCCATCTAATCAGCAGTCTGAGGCCAGAGGATCGATTGAGCCCAGGAGTTTGAGGTTTCAGTGACCTTTGATGACACCAGTGTACTCTAGCACAGGCAACAGAGTGAGACCTGTCTCAAAAAAAAAAAAAAGGCTTGGTGCCCATAGCTCAGTGAGTAGGGTGCTGGCCCCATACACCGAGGCTAGTGGGTTCGAGTCTGGCCCAGGCCTGCTAAAAAACAATGACAACTGCAACCAAAAAATAGCTGGGTGTTATGGTGGGTGCCTATAGTCCCAGCTACTTGGGAGGCTGAGGCAAGAGAATCGCTTACGCCCCAACAATTTGAGGTTGCTGTGAGCTGGGATGCCACAGCACTCTGAGTATGACATAGTGAGACTCTGTCTCAAAAAAAAAAAAAAAAAATTATCAGTACAGTGATTATATAGGTGATGAAAGTATTTCTCGTTCCAAAAGAAAGAAAGTCTTTTCACTTAAAGTCTTCTGGTCAAAGAAATTTAAAGGAAATTGTAGTTTAAATTTAGATAAACATTTTATGTTGTTGCAGAGATGTTGGTTAATAACAGACTTTAAAATATAAAAATATGGCTCAGCGCCTGTGGCTCAAGCGGCTAAGGTGCCAGCCACATACACCTAAGGTGGTGGGTTCAAATTCAGCCCGGGCCCGCCAAACAATAATGGCTGCAACAAAAAAATAGCCGCGCGTTGTGGTAGGCGCCTGTGGTCCCAGCTACTTGGGAGGCTGAGGCAGGAGACTCGCTTGAGCCCAGGAGTTGGAGGTTGCTGTGAGC